CATCCATGACTCTTGTTTTCTCATTTAAGGTAGCCACTTTGTTTTACACTCCATTCACTTAGTTTTTCAATGTGGTATATATCTTTGCATTTATTTCCCTACTTGTTGCCCTAATTCTGTTATCTTATGGGAGCCGAACTTGATTCTCTGCTTGAACAACATCTCATCTCATGATTGTCGACCATGCTTCAGATATATACTTGCTGCGGTCTCGTCGACCGGTGGTCGAGTATAGTGCCAATGGTTTAGGCAGTGCTATGATTTTCGTGTCAATTTTTGAATTTCTTTCCTTTCCCGAAAAGCTTCTTTTCTCAGTTTTTTAAACACGTTTACGGAACATAGTCGGCATGAAATACTCAGAAAATTGAGTTCTTCAACCGTCTAGTGAGTAGTCGCAATATTAGCATGTCGCGGACGAACGCCTGTTCTTGCTAAATTTTCTTGCTAAACTAAGATAAGACATGGCTGATTGCGAGAATCATTGGCTGGATGGCTTCAGAGTACAGGGTTTTCTCGCTTCTCTTGTTTTCGGACAGTTTTGAATTAGCTTCAGAGGGCCGTAATAGTGAGAACTCACAAATTCATAATCGGTTTGCTGTCTTTAAAAAACTTCAAGCAATATCATTATAGATTCCTTTTAACAGCCCATAATTTGCTAATGCTTCACATCTTGTTATTTGAGGCTATCTTCTTTTCTCTCTGTACATCTTGATCTCATGGACGTAGATATGCTTGCTTGGTCATGATCATACCATCTGTGCGTTTTAGCAATGTATTACTTATACTGCCTGCAATGCGAAGTTCCTCATGCAGATTTCTTCTCATAGTATCATCTGGCAATTTGAAGAAGTCGTTGTCGCTATCTTTAGTGCGGGTATCTTTTCCCAGTTAAAGCTGATTTTCCCTCCTCAGCTAAGTGCTATTGGAACAGAGTGGAGGTCAGGGATCACTTTGAAATGATGTTTATGGCACTGTTTTTATTGGATCAGATGGGAACATTTTACACACATATCTCCTAAAATCTTGAAGTGGATTCATTACTGTCTTCCATGTTTGGATGTGCCTTTTTACAATTTCGCAAACTGTACAATCTTTTTGGTTTTAAGTCACTCTCGTCTTTGCCGTGTCGAAGACGCTTAGCGACATCCCTCGGCAGAATATTGCGCTATGTTTTCTTAGTTACTAGTTTCTAACTCCTCTTTTTTGTTTCTCTGTCTGTTTTATTTACGCAACTCTTTAAAGTCTTTTATTGTTAGCAAAAAAAAACCGCTCTCATGTAACAAATGCGTACCATCTACTTCACCCTTTTAGTAGATTTTTCATCAAATAAATATATCTTTTTTTCATATCCTTTGCTTTTATAAGTTATGTACCAGTAGATGCGGCTTGGAACGATATTTTCAATTGCCTTCCAGCGGACATTTCAAAGCAGAGTTGTTTTTCCGTTGCGAAAAACAACGTGCATAGAGCACAAAAATTGTGCAAAGTATAACTTTAACCTAAAGCACGCAAGAACTAATCTTTGCCTTGGAATTTTTAGGATTTCCAGATCTTCTAAATTTCTTTTATTGTTTTAAGCTAAATTTTGCTTCAGCAATCATTGAAGTTCATTTAAGTTTAATGGCAGAGAAAACTTCCATAGCTTGTAGAAGCTTTTCAGAGCATAGTGCAAGGCTGCTTAACCCAAACTGTTTACCATTGAGACTGTTAGCAAAGCCTTAGAGGGCACTAAACTCCAGTTGGGGATTTGTTTTATCAAACAAACAAACAATAAGAGAGAGAGAGAGAGAGAGAGAGTTGGAGAAATTATTAGATCTCAGTGTGATGTAGAGGTAATTCTCTCCTATGATTGCACAACAATCCGGATGTGCTCGTAGAGCACGCAGAAATTCGATCGGTTCATACGAAAAGGCGCAGTTGCTTTTTTGTTTGTCTCCTACTGTTTCTCACTGGTAAGGATTCTTACTTTCAGTATAAGCATAATTAGTTCACGTTCTGGTTTTTGGCGAACATGTCTTCAATTCTTCTTGTTTTCAAAATGGATGCAACGAATCTCCTGGCAAATGACTTCAAGCATTTTTATATTTGTTCCAACTGCACTTCATATTCTACTCTCCTATCATAACTCTGGTACTGAGTACGAGATACCATGTGATAAGGGTGGCAAGTATTTGTATCTGATATCAACTG